AACAGCAACTTTAACAACGAAGGAAAAATCAATACTTTTACAATATTGATTACAGAAAACTAAGAAAATCTASTTCCTGAGAAGTAAAAAGCCGCTCTTAGAAACATTAAAAATTATTTGAATCCAACTATACTACGAATATCAGCCGATCGATGTTAAAAGTTATTTTTTGAAGTGAATTTGATGACCAAAAATATCTGCCATCTTGTGGCGGACGCTTCTTCGGTGTTCCATGACAAATTGGATAATATAATAGAAATTAAAGCTAACGACGTCAGCTATAGCACAAGAGTATTTTTGTTAAGCTATACATAAAAGCAAGCATGACATAAACTATGCTACAATTTATAAGAGAAATTGAAAATGAAAATTTTAGCTCAAAGCCATAATTGACTTACTCTGAGACWTTTTATAATGCAAAAATCGGATTTCCAGTGCTTTCATGCAGTGAATTTTCAGTTGCTTTCAGTGCTTTCAGTGTTTTCAATTTCCAAGATCTTTGCTTGTATTTTCTTCATCATTGTTGTCGACTTTTCTTGGCACTGGTAGGTGATTTCAATGTCCAACCACTGTAGATAACTTTCTGGTCTTCCATGAGTTCTGCTTTTCTGAAGAACGGCTCCACACAAACCTTGCTTGCTCTGATGATCTCAAACCCGACGGTTGTCGACATTGGGAGAACAGGAGCAACTCTGTTCTTCTTGTAACTTGGAAACTCTTTCTTGAAGGAAGTCAAGTCTTTCATATTTAACCTCTTAGAATATTGAACCTCACACGATTTGATAAAACTGACCTGTTGGTAGTTGATCAAGTTTTGAATGAACAACTTTTGAAATCTTGATTCCTATTTATATGTTCTGACATGTTTGACTAGAATCTTCAATCACCATTTCTAATTACCATGTAATTAGAGCATTTAATTAGAATCTAAAACCTTAATCAGAAAGGTTGATTACTCCTTTACTAAGTACCGGYCCCGCACAACTAGGCGTGGACTTTAAAGTTGATAGAATCGCAATTACTGAARGTTAAAATAAGAAAAAAACTTCGTTAGATTATTACAAATGAAAGGTTCAATTAGAAAAAGTAATGATTTTTAAATAAACGGCCACAACATGGGCAGGGGCCTTATTTAGGCACCGCCTCTCCAGAAAATCGTGATCGTATAGAGAGTTGAAAGACGGTGTGGATGGGTTTAACAGTCAACTGACAATTGGCCT